CTGGCCTTGTTCCCATCATGGCATACATCAATGAACCATGTTAGAAATCAGACCTAAGAACAAGTATGAGTTTATTCCCTCAGTCCAATGTAAGTGACTATATTTGACTGTACCTAAGAACAAGTATGAGTTTATTCTATGGTGCAGTCAGTATCATGCGTTTTCTCTAGCGTGTAATATGACGTACCCCTCAGTCCGATGTAAGTGACTGAGGGTTCTACTACATTTGTTCAATATATATATGTTCTTGGTGGACAATGTGCTCATTGTCCACCAAATGGTAATTAGTGGCACAATGTAAGTGTTGTGGCCCTGTGTAATGGGTGGCCAGTGTCTGTGTGATATGTTCAAAAGTTCAACAAACCGACCACACTCAAGTAAGTTATTTGTTTACTGCCGATCATCATCTCTGTGACAGTAGTGTCATTGTCTATGTTCTGTGTGACCAGCTTCAAGTTTGTGGCCATTGGTGTCCAGGTTGGTTTTGCATTAGTCATCTTGCATCACTCAATGATGGTTTTGATATATTGTTGCTGCAATAGACTTATTGTATGAGCTTTTTGGTCTTGATTAATTTGGATTCCTGTGATGTAAGTTGCCAGCCCAAGATCATGCATCTTGAAAATTGATTTCTGACAGCCTTTGTCTCCTTGACTCTCTTATGTAAGTCAGAGGAGGGTTCTCTGTTGAGCTTGAATGTCCTCTTGTTTTGTCAACTTTGTACTAGGTCATGTGCTTTTTATAGAATCTTCTAGAACTTTCAAGACCAAACTAGTTTACACATCATCTAGATCAAACTAGTCAATAATACATGTCATCATTGTATGCTACATTCCCAATGTTCTGCTCTTTTACTACACCAGATTGGGAGATCTTAGTGGTGCACATCTTTGCTTTTGGTGTGTGTGGTTTTGTTCAGCCTATACTTAATACTAGCTGTGTTACTGTCAAGTTCTGCTGACCATAGGGGCTCAGTCCACTGGGCAAATCCTTATGTGGCGCACATGATGTCCACAAATGCAATTGTACTGTCAAGAGCACAAGGCATATGAGACCGGAGCAGGGCCAGGAATGCAACTGGCGGTCAAGTGAGTGATCACCGGTCATGCTGGGGCAAGAATGCGAGTACCAGGGATGAAGAAGAAGAGGTTGGAGGCTGAGTGCCAGGGTAAGCGCAAGTTCCAAAGATGTAAGGGAAGAGGGAAAGACAAGCACCAGTGTGCAAGTGAATCTTGGGGCTGGTGAACAGATAGCTGGGGCGAGCAAGGGGACTTAGCAAGTCTTGGAATCAAGGATGAGGGGCATGGAGATCTAAGCAAGCCAAAAGGAGAAAGAGTCAAGATGAGTGATGGAAGGAGAAATGAAATGAGTTGAGACGAAGGCAAGAGAAGAAGAAAGAGAAAAAAGAGGAGAGACTTAGAGACTTGAGGCAGAGAGAGAGAAAGCAGAGTTGGATTAAGAGTATGAGACAAGTAGAGATAAGAGAAGCAAGACAATACAAGACGAGTACGAGACAAAACAAGATAAGTCAAAAATGGGAACCAGAACATGTGAGACTGGGAAACAGAAAACAAAATACAAAACTGGAGACAAAGTATGGTAATATCAAGACTAGAGTACTAGGTGCTACTCTATGACTTATATACAAGAGGGTACATAGGCTTCAGGGCACAGATCTAGGCCTTGGTGACGAGTTGTGATGCTGAGGCTTGAGGTGAAGCCCAAAGATTGTGCAAGGCGGTGGTGGTGGCCGGTGCATGTTGTGTGGCATAAAAAAAGCTCCTCAAAGAATGGCAGCAAAGCAAAAAGGTGAGTGGGTGTGGCATATGGAGGTCAGGCCAGCAATGTGGCAGCTGTGGTTGGAGGAAGCGCTGAGGTGGCTGGTCGGTTAGCGGTCAGGCCTGGGATGGTCGTGGAGGTTGGTTTGGAGAGGTTGGAGTCTTGGGGCTGGGGCTAAGTGCCAGAGGTTGATAGCAGGTCGTAACAACCATTAGCTAGGACCCTTCATGGTGGAACAACAGATAGGCCTACTAGTCTACCAACTCTGGCTCCTAGCAGGAATGCAACAGCTTCTCGTATTCAACATGGTCAAGCTAACACCGGCCCCAGAGGACCCAATCCTAGGGCAACACCCAGCACCTCCTCCACCCCTGGTTGTAGTCAACAACAACAAGGAGTATGAGGTGGAGGAGATACTGAACAGTTGCCTATTCAGAAGGCAGCTACAGTACAAGGTGAAGTGGAAAGGTCATGAGATTGAAGACATCTCCTGGGAACCCTGGAAGAATGTGCATGCACTGGAAATTTTCAGAGAGTTCCACTAGAGACACTTAGATGCACCCTAGGCCATTTGGAGGATCTATCCCATCTTACCAGTGGACCAGGTGATCTGTAACTTCTTCTACCCTGCATGTCGAGACGCTGCATGCTAGAGGGGGAGTGATGTCAGAGAACTTTCATTTAACTTCCATTTCTTAGCACTGCACTATGCCCTGCCCATTTCCTATGCCACTTTCTGGAACTCCTGGGGCTTGTTCTAGACCCTCAGAAATTGCCAGAGGTCATTTCCTTTTTAGGTAAATCCTGGAACTTCCTGCACTCCTTGTTTAAGCCTTATCCAAGATTAAGGTTAGCTCTGGTCAACTGTACAGTTGTTCCTCTGCTGCCCACTGATGAGCCACACCAAGTAGTGGAGATTCTTAGACTTGTTCACTTTGGATTCTCCTCTGCTAGGTGATTAGTTACCATTGTATTGTTGATTATCATGCCTAATATAACTTTGGATTCCCCTGTGCTAGTTGTGTGATTGAGCCGCAACTCCTGGAAGTCACTCTTCACATGCATGTAACTAAGCCCTACGAAACTACATGAAAGGCTAGAGTACATCAGATTGGATATTTATTCTGATCAGTTTACTTTAACCAATTCCACATCACTATACAGGATAGAGCTTGTTGTAAAGGCATATATAGATAAGACACTGTATAAATTGGCTGAAGAACATGTCACAGCATTTCTTCAGAGTGGGACAACAATATTGTCAAGAGGTCTGCACACAGTTTATTCAGAAAATGTCTGCTGATTCAGGTTTCACCTTAGTATTACACACACAGCAGTTCAATGGGAACAATTTAGAAATGCTGCACATGATGATATGCCACTTCACAATTCTGACATGCATCAATTGCACAATGCAGTCTTTGATAATGATGGATCTGTGATTTGACTATGCCTAATGTGCAAGGTACTCCTATCAATGAGTATAGCACACAGGGCATTGCTATTAATGCTTTTTCAACTCTTTTTTGTAATAAAAAGGGTGATATCTTAGATTTACATGATTTTGAAGTTACAATGGAAGAATGGGCAGCTCATCTCATCTAACATAATGGTGGTAAATTTGCATGACATCCTTCCTTTCAATATTAGGCTCTAAATACTGCTATGCATCAAAAGGCTAAAAAAGCATCACAGTGGTATTTGACTACACATAAAGATGATTGTTGACTTACAGCTAAATTTATCTGAGGAATAATTAATTCTGATGAGACACATACTCTTGCAAATTATATTTCACATATTGGTGAAAAATTTCCAGGTTCAAAGCCATTCTGGATAAAAGCTCAGCATAAACTTTTTAGTCAAAATCATTCTCCTAAATATGGATCTTCACATGTCTTCTTTACTGCATCATCAGCTGATATACAATGGCCAGATATGCATCAGCACATGCCTAACTTTGATCTTGATCAAGGAAAAAATGCATCTGCTTATTGAATACACATGGAAGATTTAAACTGGAATCCTGCTGTGGCTGCTTATTATTTTCAAAAGAGACGGGAAGCAATTCTTGGGTAAATTCACAGTAGAAGGATGTTCTCAGTTCAATGAAGCACTTCATCTTCTACCTACATGAGCTGCTGTATATAAATACAATATGCAGAGTTTAGCAGGCACTGAGCAACCAGTTGTTTGTTATCATGCAAAACACAATAATCATGCTGCAAAGAAAGCTTTTGAAGAGGATGCAGATGGACTTAAATCTATGATTTTGTTAGCTAAAGGTATGATCACTCAAAATCCAACTTCAAAAGGTACTATCTAGTTGTTCTATGCATGATCAAATGTTTAAAGAGTCAATAAGACTGGTGAATGGTACTCAGGGTGTAGTCAAAAAAATTTGGTATTGGCCTCAAGACAGTCCCAGAAGCCATGAACTTCCTTCTGTGATATTTGTTAAACATCCAGAATATACAAGTAGGTTAAATGCTTATAGATTCTTGATATATTCATTGGAATATACATCAGGTCCTCCAAATCCTGGATGGCATGGAGTTGATCCTTCATGGATTCCTATTTCATCTATACTTGCTTTTTGGGAGGAAATTTCAGGAAATTAGCTGTCTTGTGAACAGCTTTCTTTGACATTGGCCTGGGCAATCACTATCCACAAGAGCCAAGGACTTACTCTTGAAGAAGTTACAACTAATTTATGACCCAAGGATTTTTCATCTGGGCTCTCATTTGTAGCTATAAATTGTATCAAAAAACTCAAGAGATTGGCTTTCCAGACTCTATTTGGCATCAGTCAGCTTCAACATGGAGAAGAGACAGAATCAATGAAGATGTTGAGAGAGGATAATGTTAGACATGCAGCATCTAGATTTACACTTAACACTTATGATATGGACCTCAGTGAATATGTATTCAATGAGTAGCTAGCTATTCGGATGTAATACTGTGTTGGTTATTGGGATAAAGCAAGCTCCCCATTCTGTAGGTGAGATACTCACATACAAACATAGTTATTTAGCTGTAACAATAGGTGCAAATATATATTTTAACCCATGGGGCAGACCATAGAGCCCCCCCCTGTAGTGCTCAGTTTATCCCGGTCCCGGTAAGCTCGCTTGTGGGTTGAGTCATTGGATCCATGAGACAAGTAACGAGTGATATTTAGCCTGTCAGTATGTGAGAAGCCCGCTAAACACATTCTGTATGCCTTCTTGGCTCAGTTGGCTAGAGCGCAGGTCTCATATAAATATGACGTAGTAATCATATACTCCGCAATCCTGAGGTCGCAAGTTCGAGCCTTGCAGAGGGCATGTTTTTGGTAATCTCATTTCGTCCTAAATTTTTTTCACC